CCCCGCCCCACATCTGGACCTGCAGCCCCGCCCCACATCTGGACCTGCAGCCCCTGCCTGCACATCTGGACCTGCAGCCCCACCCCACATCCGGCCCTGGAGCCTCTGCCCCAGTAAAGCTGTGCAACATCCCGCCCTGGGCACAGCAGAGGCTTGGGGGCTGCGAGTAGCTCCTACAGGACCATAAAGGCCAGGGGGACCTTACTCATGAAACTCTGAAGCAAGGACAGTATGTGTCCAGGAGGCTGTTTGGCAATTCTCCCTGGCCAGGAGCAGGGTGGGAGGGAGCTGAGAGCACAGACGCCTGCCGTTCCGTGCTTGAGGGTTGCCTCACACTCACAGTTCCGAGTCTCCCAGGCGGTCCATGCTGGAGACATAAGAAGGTAATTTGTGTTGGACCAAGGCCTCGTCCTCTTCTGCCTGCTGCTCCTCTTTTTTCAGTCGGTGGATTTCTGCTTGCAATGCAAAAAGCTGCACAGGGGTGAGACTGAGTTAGCCTACGCTCTTGCCTACTCTTCCCTCTGCTGCGGACATTTCTAGACACACCACATCCAAAGCCCACCCTCCTGGCTCCAGACGTCCCGCCCCTCCACCTCGAGGCACCCTCTCACTCCCTGCAAACTGTGTGCTGGAAAATGGAAGCCAAAAGCTGTTCCTCCACGACAGCGAGGGGAGAAAGGCCAAAACTCTTAGACGGAAGAAACGCACGTTTTCCCTTTCATCATTTGACTTGCCTCGTTTTCATCTTTGACTTGCTTCCTCTCGAATTCACTGAGAGAAACAGCTCCACCCAATCCTACTTTGCTTTTTGGAATCTACAAAATCAGGCTTGGGGACTCTGACAGAAACACTTAAAAAATGAATTATCACATCCTTAACCTTTTACCTGAAAAAAATTATCCATATATACACACCCTAAACTCAAGAATTTTAAAGTGCTCAAACCTAAAGACCTTATAATCTTCCTTTTCCCAAAAATATAACCTGTCGACATCTTCATTTCAAGGACAGAGAAATTTAAAGACAAATGTGGGCACCCTGGCTCCATCTTTCTACTGAACTAGAGAGACACAGGGCTCAGTAAGAAGAGATAGCTTACATCTGGGTTGTAAATAAAAAACCCATCGCCATCAAGTAAATTCCGACTCATAGCAACCCTATAGGACAGAGTAGAACTGCCCCACAGGGTTGGTTTTCAGGGCTGTAAATCTTTACAGAAGCAGACTGCCACATCTTTCTCCGACAGAGTGGCTGGTGGGTTCGAACTGCCAACCTTTTGGTTAGCAGCTGAGCGGTTAACCACTGCACAACCAGGGCTGCTGTAAACAACACAGACAGGGACCTTTGTGCAAAAGGCCTGGGAGGATCAGACAGACAGATGAGCAGGTCAGCAGTGAGGTGACAGGACTACATAGTCGTTTTCTTCTAGAAGTTCATTACTGGTACTAGATGGTTTATGCTGCACACATGACTTTAAAGTACGACTCTTGCCCCTGAACGTGACACTGGCTTTCTAACGACCCTCTCATCTGCAAACAGCGTGGCTTCCTACATTCCCTCACACCCTCCGCCAACTTCACGTGTGAAAAGCAGAGGTGCTTTCCAAGGCGGAGCCTGTTCAGACAAACCTTCTGACGCAGAACTTCGTTCTCTTCTTGGACCTGGTTGGTCCTCTGGCACTCCGCATCGAAGCTCAGGATCACAGGAACCGGTGCACAGGTTAAAGAAGGAGCCAGTCTGCGGATGCTTAGACGCCCCTCCCAAAGCCCTATGCCAGCAGCCCAGTGCCTGAGCCCAAGACAGGGGGACTGGAGGGCAGAGCAGAAACTGTGGGCGCTGTATTAAACAGTCTGTCCCCCTCCGGGTCGCTACCCTAGGCCAGGCCAGATTTCCTTCAGGCGACTCACAGCCCATGGCACTCTGCCTGGCCAGCCCACAGACAGGGCGTAAGTACAGGTACAGGCAGTGAAAAGCTAATACCCAGTGGACTTCACAGCCAGGCTAAGTGCAGCCAGGCCAGACAAGACATTCTGCTAAAAGCAACCCCGGAGGCCAGGGCCCCATGGACACTGCCAGGTGGTCAGCCAGCTGGGGCCGAGTGTCAGCCGCTCAGCCTTCCCTGCCCAGATGGAACCTTCCTGGCAAAGGTTTAGGCCAAGAGGGGAAAGCTGTCTCCAGATTGCACAGCCACACCCCACCTCATGAACACCCAGAGTCTAGCTGAGGGTGTCAGCTTTCCCAGCCGCCCCAACAGCCTCAGTCAGGAGCAGACAGCAGGCCGGGCCTCAGCATCGGGGAAATGGATGCAGCTCACATGTGCCTGACCTAGTCTGAAGGGCTCTGTCTCGCTCCTGAAAGATCTTGAATGATACCTGCATTTCCCCTGGAGGGCCAACATGGTCATGCGGCCCCCTCTGAGCTAAGTCCTGGCTTGTGTGAGACTCCCCAGGATGCATGCAGAGCAGCAGCAGAGAGAGAAAAAAGGGCAGCACTCACACTCATCCATAACACCAAAGGAAGGGGCAAAGGCAGCAAAGGACCCTCCCTACCTCCACAAGAACATGGCTCCTCCCGGGGCAGAAACCGTGCCAGTGGGTGGCCCCCTACAAGCCCAAACCTTATCAGCGCCACACCAGGCAGCCCCATGCCAAACACACTCCCTGCTCCTCCCCTACATTTCAGCCAACAGAGCAAGGGCATGAGTCCAGCCTGGGCCTCGGGCTCTCAGAGACAAAATGGCAAATTTGGTGAGCTGTAAATATTTACAGACAACACACACATATTCTTAAATATCTACCTAAGTACTGTCTTTATGTATACACGTCTATATTTATCTGTCTCTCTCTCGACATACATATTCTTAAAGCCACTGTTTTCCAGAAAGCTGAAGAACACTGAGGTCACTGTCAGAGAGTAACGCAGACTAACACAGGCAGCAAGTTCCAACCCAATAAGCGCCCTTGTCTGCTACCTCGTCCCAGCCAGGACAAGAAGTATCCTTGAGGCACTGACCAGCATGCACAGAGAGGGCGCTCTTGAGGCTGGCCAGTCTCGCCAACAAGCAGCTGCCTTCCAACCCCTGGGTCTGCGGTGAGAGGGCCCCAGACTGGTTTACGGCTCCTCTCAGAGCCGAGCACCGTCATCCCACTGCCACCAGCCCCATCACGCCAGTCAGCAGTCCATTCAGCAGTGCAGTGTCAGAACTAAGATCTATGATTCCATGGACTGCCGACAAGAAAAACCATAACTTGTCCAGCCCTCACATGACCATGACAGCAGCCCCAGGGCATTTCACGGAGAGCCGGGACCTGACTGCTCTGCATGGGGGCCTCAGAGGGGCCCCGCCAGCCCAGCGCCGGCAGGATATGCATGCACTGCAGCAGGACGCTCAGGAAGTTGTGCAGGGACACAATGAAGGTGTCAGCCCACTGCCGCGAGAAGTAGGTGGCGAAGGTGGGGTTGGTGTCTGGGGATGGCAGGAAGGGCAGGGCAAACCAATCCTTCCACTCGGCCTGGTTCTGGAGCTCCGCAGCCTGCTTGGCAAAGAACTCCTGGGCCTTGTCACTCCTGTTGGTCTGCCAAGACACAAGGGAGGGGGCGAGGAGGGGCAGAGATGGAAGTGCAAAGGTGAGATTCCTTATCACTGCACTGGACAGCTATCAGCCTGCCAGGTATGGCCAGACATCTGACATATAAATGCCATAACATAAAAGAAATTGTCACTCTTTTCTCAAAGACCTTGCAGTTTTGAAGTTGGTTTCAACTGAAGTTCTGATGATAAATGCCATCCTGCAAATTAACCCCCAGTTTATTTTCCAACAACCTAAGCGACTTATTTCCCCAGGCCGGCTATAATCTTTGTGACTCAAAACGTAACCCAGCTACTTAAATTCTTAGAAACACCACCTGGGCTAACATGCTTAAAACAAGAGAGGAAACAGGAATGAGGAAGAAAAGTCAGATGATCTGCAGATGATTAGAAAAAGAGACAAAAATAATTTGCCGTGACTGCTCTACCCTTTCCCATAATAACATGCAGAGTCCTCCCTTGGGGTTAAAAGAAAATCTGTTTCTGGAACAAAGGGCTCTCTCCACCGAAGGAACCAGCACCTGGATTGTGTAGACAAGATAAAAGCGGAACAGGCTGGTTTTCAGCTTGTTGATGGTGGGTCTGTATATATCCTCCAAGCGGCTAAACAGCCGGCGCTCCAGGTAGCTCCAGTAATCCCGAAGGGCAGCCAGGTCATACACCTGCATTAGCTGCTGGAGCTGCTCCACAATCTTGTCCACCTGGTAAGAGATCAAGGGGATGGAGAAGGTGGTGAAGGACAGAAGGGGGTCCTCCTTCACCCCACGAAGTTAATACAGCTTTTTCCTCCTGCTGTGGTTTCTGGTGTTTTTTAAAAAAAAAGAAAGTTAGCAATCTATAAAATTTTGAAAAGGTGTTACTGTAATAGCTTTTGAGCTATTTTCTGATGTTAGATAAGTGGCTGAGTCTGTAGAAAGCATGGAAATGTCAGGTGTAAAAAGTAAGGGCTCTAGCCCAGGAACAAGGAGATGTGGGCCTGAGTCTCAGATCTGCATCTGACCAACTTGACTGCCTGGGTAATGTCATGTCAACTCTCTGGTCTCAACTGCCTCGCATTTGGAGGGGAAAAAAAAAAAAAACAGATGGATTGAGATACTCTCGTGGTCCTCCTCCCAGCTGCACAACTCCAAGATTCCAAAGCTCACCATGAGGTGCACTGATTCCTTCAAGTCACCAAAGCGTCAGGCAACGAAGAAGTAACACCAGAGTGCGCAGTCTGCAAAGGTTTTGAATACCAATCCAACCGCTCTAGTCTACAGATCCAGGAGAGGTGAAAGCATTTGCTTTTGCCACAAAGCAGCCACTAACAATACCTGGTGGTGCGGTGGTTAAGCACGCGGCTGCTAACCAAAAGGTTGGCAGTTCAATCCCACCAGCTGCTCCAGGGGAGAGAGATGTGACAGTCTGCTTCCATAAAGATTATAGCCTTGGAAACCCTACAGGGCAGTTCTACTCTGTCCTGCAGGGTAACTATGAGTCATGAGTCGGAATCAACTAGACGGCAAGGGGGCGGGAGAAGTGGCCACTCCAGCACTCCTCTGTCAGTCTGTTGTACTGTGGTGACTTGTGCATCGCTGTGATGCTGGAAGGTGTGCCATCAGTATTTTAAATACCAGCAGAGTCACCCACGATGGACAGGTTTCAGCAGGGTCTCTAGACTCAGACAGACTAGAAAGAAAGCCTAGCGATCTACTTCCGAAAATCAGTCAATGAAAACCCTACGGATTACAAGAGAATAGTGTCCAATACAGGGCTGGAAGATGAACCCCCAGGCAGGAAGGCACTGCACTACACAGTGGCCCCAACAATGGACTCAAGCATAGCCAAGACTGTTGGGACCGTGAGGGCCAAGCAGCGTTTCAGTTCAGTTGTGCATGGGGTCACCGCGCCGAAGACAATTAACAATAACAGGTGGCCACCGACTCCGGCAAGACAAGAAACCAGGTCTCCTAACTCCCCCTGGGAGCTGGCTCTTGCTGCTAGCTCACGGCCTCGGTTCACCTGCCAACCCCGACTGAAGTCAGCCAACATATCAACATAGGAATCACACACACAATACAAGTTCCTCAAACCTCTCAACTGAAAACCACATCAGACCAGGGGAAGTATAAGTTTTAAAATGTGCAATGAGGTCTTTCTTCGGCAACTGCGGAAGCAACCTTGACCATGAATCAGACAAGACGGTTTTAAACAAGCACCACAGATACTTGAACCCAGCTAACACTTTGGGCTGCAGACCCATTGCTCTCAATGCCTTGGTCTATTTCTGTTGCCAAAACTCAACCATCTCCCCAACCGTGGCTCCGGAAACCTCATCGTCGCTGTGGCCAAAGGCTGGTGGGTATCGGAGCCCTGCACCGGGAGGCGGGCCCCTTGGGCTCCCGCCCCGGCGATGCTCCTGACCCACTGAGCAACTTCAGGCAGGTCAGTCCCCTCTCAGGGCCTCGGCTCCTCATGGTCAGCGAAGGCCAGACGCGCGATGCGACATCCCCCGGCGCGGTGACAGCGCCGCTCCCTCCCCGGAGGGCTAGGCTGGGTACAGCGCGCTCCAGGGTCCCTGGGGACCGCCTCCGCCCGCGCCGCGCCCGCCGGCCCCTCACCCGGAACCCCTTCTCCTTGTCCGCCTTGATCTCGGCGTCCAGCTGCCGCAGCGTGTGCGTGAAGCCGCGAAACAGCAGGTATTCGCGGACCAGCTCGTCCGTACGCTCCACTGCCTCCGCCATCGCTGCGGCAGCGCTTCGAGGGTCCTTGCGAGCCGGGCGCGAAGGGGCGGGGCGGGCGCTGAGCGCGTCACGCCGCGGCTGGCCAATGAGCACGCACGCACACGCGCGCCCGCGGCCTAGCCCCGGCCCCAACCTACCCTGCCCCAGCCTCAGGCACGGCCCGGCTCCGGCCTGCCCCCATTTTGGGGCCTGGCCCCGCCCCCAGCCTTAGTCTCGGCCCCCCTCCATATCCCGGTTCCGCCCCCACCTCGCCGCCAAGGCCCCGCCCCGCCCCTGCCTCAGCCCCCGCCCCGCCTTCGGCCCCCGCACCGCCCCGGCCCCGCCCCTGCCAGCTTCTCCTACTCCGCGGAGCGCTGGCGGCGATTTGTCGTCTAGTTACTGAAAGTGGCGGCTGCCGCCCAAACCACCCTTGCAAGTACGGCTGGACTTCAGGGAACATCCCAGACAGTCACGGTGCGGGAGCGGGTGAGGAGCCCTGCTTACTGGCCTTACGTTGAGGAATCCTCTGCCCCCGCCCTCGTTCTGCAAGTGGGAAACTTGTGAAGTCACACAGCCGGGGATATCATTGGAGAGCCCCAAGTCCCCCAAAAGTTTCCGCTAATAAGAATAATTAATTACAAGGCCAGATAACCAAGACATACTGTTAAGAGAAAAAAAGGCGGTTTTCAGAATAGTGTGTATAATATGATTCCAGATTCTTGTTAAAAAAAAAAAGTACTATGTACGTGTGTATACCGTTAAATAAATCAGGAAGATCATACACTAACTATTTATAGTGATTTTCTCTGAGAGGTGAGATTGATTATGAGGGACTTTCACTTTCTATTTTTTACTGTTTGAAATTTTTACTAAGTGTATGCATTTTTTTAAGCAGGAAAATAGTTAATGTCTTTGTGCCTTACTTTTCTCATGTATAAAATAGTGATAATAACACCTTCCTTGCAGAGTAGTAATGAAAACTGAGATAATGTATGTAAACCGCCTGGCACAGTGAAAGGCCCTTATTGAAATACAATAAAAGTTTGTACCCTTCTCCTTCCTTCTACTAGTATGACTTTTTGTATTTGTCAAAGTACAGCTGGGAATCCTTTCTGCCTTTCTGCCCAGACCTTCCAATCCTGCTCTATGGAGATTCACCTGCAAAGGGGCTCTGATCTGCACTCGAGAACCTGGAAAGCTAACAATGAGCAAGTCACCTGCCCTCTCTGCCTGCTTTACCTGGCTCCACAGCTGTGAGCAGCCCCCAGAAAACCATCCTGCGGCACGGGAAAGGAGAGGCGCCTCTGTGACTCCTCAGAGGACCAGACCAAATCCTACTCTGACTGGAGCCGCAAATTATCAAAAGTGAACTTGGGAAATCCCAACAAGTAGCAATGCAAACCTTTGCCTACAGGCAAGGTGTGAATTAGATTTCCCTAAGGGCCCCTGAAGAAGCCCTGGTTGTGCAATGGTTAAGCCCTGGGCTGCTAACCAAAAACACGGCAGTTCAAACCCACCAGCGGTTCCACGAGAGAAAAGACCAGGCCGTCTCTTCCCATGATTGCAGTCTAAGAAACCCTATAGGGTGGTTCTACCTGTCCTATAGGTCTGTGTGAGTTGGAATCAACTAAAAGGTACACAGCAACAAGGGCACCTAAAGTGTGTGGCTCCCACCCCCTCACCCCATCTGCCCTGGCTCCTCCCAGACCCACCCATTGCCCTCGAGTCCATTGTGACTCATAGCGACCCTACAGGACAGAGTAGAACTGCCCTATGGGGTTTCTAAGACCGTAAATCTTTACGGAAGCAGACAACCACATCTTTCCCCTGCACAGCAGCTGGTGGGTTCTAACGGTCAGATTTCGTTAGCAGCCAAATGCTTAACCACTGCACCACCAGGTCTGTAAAACTGGCTAAAATTGGTTTTCTGATCAATAAAAAAAGACATGCATGGCAGGCAGCTCCCCAAGGGCTCAGCATCCCTCTTCCTACAATGTCTTCTCCCAGATGCTCACATAGACAGTGCCCCCTCCCCCTCACAGTTTTGCCCAAACATCACCTTCTCAGAGGGGCCTTCTCTGGCGGTCCTATGTAAATAGCAGTCCCCCGCCTCAATCCTCTTACTTCCTTACCCAGCTATACCTTTCTCCAAAGCACCCATCACCATATCACAAACTATGTTCCAAACTGAATTGTGTCCCCAAAATGTTATGTGGAAGCCTTAACCTTGTTTGGGCTTATGACCTGTTTAGAAATAAGAGTTTTGTTTGTTATGTTAATGAGGTCATACCAGGATAGGGTGGGCCCTAAAGCTAATCCCTTCTGAATGTTATAAAAAGAGCAGAATAGACACAGGGACACACACACATGGGGAGGAGACTATGTGAGGGACATCTACAAGCCAAGGAACACCCAGAAACGCTCAGGGCTACCGACAAGGCAAGGCCTTCTCCCAGAGCCAATGTCCTGATTTGGACTTCTAGCCTCCAAAACTGTGAGATGATAAATTCCTGTTCTTTAAAGTCACCTATTTGTGGTATTTTTGTTATGGCAACCCTAGGTAATAAGACACTTATCTATTTGCCTTTATTATATAGTTTCTAGCACCACCACCACGAACGTGTAAGCTCCACAAAAGCAGAGATTTTTGTCTGTATTCTTTGTTACCCTATCCCCAGATTTTATAATAGCATCTGGCTTACAGTAGCTCCTCAGTATTTGTTGAATGCCCAGATGAGGGCAGGACAGGCCTACAGGTGAGAATAAACTCTTGAATCACTCCTGCGTATAGACTCTGTGGGCTTCGGGCCAGGTTCCCAGGCTTCCGCCCGTGTGTGTTTCTGTATCTATTCTGCTCTTTTGATAACTCAGAAGTGATTAGGTTTAGGACTCAGTCTACTCTGGTATGACCTCATTAACATAACATAAAGGTTCACAAGGGCCAGGAGTTCAACACATATTTGGGGGGAAGGGGGACACAATTCAGCCCATAACAATGTCTATGTCATGTGACCCTCATGCAGCCCTACAAAGTAAGGCCTTTTTACCTCATTTTCAGGATAGCAAACTGAGGTTCAGGGAAACTAAGTGATCTAAAACGCTCACATGTGGTTCCTGCACAGCCAAGTGTCAAATTTGCATTTTCTGGCTCTAAGTCGTGCTCTGCCGAGAGCTTCACAGAAATATCATTAAAGTGGTCGATTTGTGAAAGAGGCCACTTGGATGAGAGAGGACGAATTATGCCCCCTCCTCAAGAGTGTTGGAGCTCAGCTTAACCAAGCAAGGCCTCTTTAGTAGCTGGAGCATTCTACCCAGCACGGATCTGTGAGTTCCACCCTGGGAACCAGAGAAAACAGGTCTGCCAGGTGATAGCACCTGGAATTCTCCAAGATGCTGGGGTAACCTTAGAATTTCACCTTCTGCCAGCACCTTAGGAGCCCTGGTGGCACCCAGTGGTTAAGAGCTCAGCTGCTAACCAAAAGGTCGGCTGTTTGAACCCATAAGCCACTCCACAGGAGAAAGATGTGGCAGTCTGCTTCCGTAAAGATTACAGCCTTGGAAACCCTATGGGGCAGTTCTGCTCTGTCCGGTGGGGTTGCTTTGAGTCAGAATCCACTCAACGGCTATGGGTTTGGTTTTCTGTTTTGTTTTGTTTTTGCCCTTACTGTAGGAGCCCTGGTGGCACAGTGGTTAACTCCTCGGCTACTATGATAGTTAAGGTTGTTTGTCAAACTGGCTGGGCCATGATTCTCAGTGGTTTGGTAGTTATGATATAGTTTGGCAGTCATGTGATGTTGTGATTACTTCCCTGATAAGATTTGATATGATGTGATCACCACCATGATAGGATCTGCTGTGAGTAGCCAATCAGTTGAAAGGGAATTTCCTTGGGCGTGTGGCCTGCATCAAATATGGGTGGACTTACTGGCAAGTCTCAGGGACTTTTGCTCGCTCTGGATCCTACAGCTGGCTCCTGTTCGTCTGACGTCCGGTTCTTGGGACTTGAGCTAGCAGTTTACCTGCAGTCTTGCCTGCCAATCTTAGGATTCGTAGATCTTCACAGCCTGTGAGCAAGAGCCTTGCTGTCTGACAAGCCAATCTTGAGTTCATCGGCCCCTTTGGCTATGTGTATCAGGAGAAGCCTCTATCCTGACCTATGGACTTGGGACGTTCCAGCCTCTACAACCGAATGAGGCATTTCCTTGATATAAATCTCTTTCTATAAGTATTTATACAGTTTACTGGTTTTGCTTCTCTAGAGAACCTGGCCTAAGACAGCTGCAAACTGAAAGGTAGGTGGTTCGAACCCACCAGCCACTTTGTGGGAGAAAGGTGTGGCAGTCTGCTTACATGAAGATTACAGCCTTGGAAACCCTTGGGGCAGTTCTACTCTGCCCTATAGGGTTGCTGTGAGTTGAATTTGACTCCACAGCAATGGGCTTTTTGCCCTCACCTCTTGCCTGACTGACCTATCTTCAATCTTGATTTACTGGGCTGCCCTCTGTGTACCCTACAATTTCTGGTGTTTCTTTTCACCCAGTCCTTGGCCTGACTCTGCCCGTAGTAGAGAAGTGAGTTCACACACATATAAATGAGTAGAAGTAAAAAGGGAGAAATAGAATAAGATCAGTGGATTGTATTAATCAAGATCTTGGTTTTGCTATTGTATTATAGTTTCGTAAGATGTTAGCATTGAGGGAAAACGGAGAAAGGGTACATGGGAATCTCTTTGTATTATTTCTTACAACTGCATTTCAATCTACAATTTTCTCAAAATAAACAAGTTTATTTTTTTAAAGTATGATACAAAACTAGATATGGAATATGATTGCCTTATATAATGTTTTTGATGTATATGTAAACGCACAAAAAATCAACAATGGCTCTAGGTGGCAGAGGAGTTGGATTTTATTGGGTGACTTCAGATTCTGTCTTTAGATTTTTCAATATTTTTCATGTTCTCTACTATGAATATGTATCCATTTTATAATTTTAAAACATAAATCTTGTCTTTAAACATAGCATGTTCATGTCTGACATATCAGTGCTAGCTTATACAAAGCTTGTATCAACTAACCCCCCAAAACTTTTCAAAATAAATTGCTGCTAAGCTAGGAATCCTCAATCCTGGACTTAGAGAACAAAGGTTTTGGAGCTTAATATAGGACCTCTAAGAAGGCCTGGTGGTGCAATGGTTAAATCACTCAGCTGCTAACTGAAAGATTGGCAGTTTGAACCCATCTGCCACTCCGTAGAAAAGACCTGGCGATCTGCTCCCATAAAGATTACAGCCTAGTAAACCCTATGAGGCAGTTCTACTCCGTCATATACAGTCTCTAGGAGTTGAGATCAACACAATGGCACACAACAACAGAATCTGCAATTCCGTTTCAGTTAGTTGTCTATATAACTGTTCTCAAGTTGTGTCATTTCTCTGGGCCCCGGTTTCCTCATTTGCAATGTAAAGGCTTTGGACCAGAAGGACCGACATCACTCTTCCAGTCAATGGGCCTCGTGTCAGTACAAGGCACCTGCTGGGGACCTTGGCCTGTCTGTTGAGAGACAAAGGATCCCAAAGACTGAAGGTGAGCTACCTTCTCTCACACGATTGTGACCAGGTCCCCTTGAGGAGAAGCTCAAATTAGAGCAAGAACCTGCTTCTCTCCTACCTCTCTGCCTTCCACTCCGGGGAACAGTAAAGTCAACATTTGCACAGGGCAGCAAAATGCTGATAATGACATTAGACCATCTGTAGTAGGAATCCTTGGGTTTATGAGTCTGTAAAATCATCCACTTTCACTGCTGGAACAATTCAAGTCTCCCAGGTTAATAAGTAATACTGCAAACACAAAGTGGAGAATGGCATGGGGGAATTCCATCTCCGCCGCCACACTTCCTAAAAACCAACTCCCATACCCTTTCCAATCCAGCTTCCACCTCCACAATACCTGCACCAGCTTCTCTCTATCTCCCCCTTCCTCCCTCTCTCTCTCTTTCTCCCTGAGCTTCTCTTTCATGGCCCATGCCTATTGTGAGCCCTCTCTCCTCAAACACATCATTGTCATCTTCCTCATGGTGTGGTATATCTAAAGAAAGAAATATTATTTGGCCATAAAAAGGAATGAAGCACATACTTGCTACAACATCAATGAACCTTGAAAACATGTAGCTAAGTAAAGAAACCAGACCCAAGAGGCCACACACTGTATGATTCCATTTATATGAAATGTCCAGAATAGGAAAACCAATAGAGACAGATACAATTTCAGAAACAAAAAGTAAATTCCTTGTTCATCTGTTCCAAGAATGACCCGAGATCCATGGCTGGTAATTCAGTAGCTGGGACACACTAGGTCCTTTCTAGGCCCAGTGTAGAAGTTCCCTTCTGAGCAGCAGCTTGAGTTTGAGTAGTGTTTCCCATGTCGCTACCCCACACCTTAGGGGTTGCCAAGGACAGGTGGGGGAGGGGGTAAAAGGGAATGGAGACTGACTATTAATGGACATGAGATTTCTTTTTGGTGAATGAAAGTGTTCTAAAATTAGATATTGGTGATGATGGCACGTCTCTGTGAATATACTAAAAAAAACTGAATTGTAGAGTTGAAAGGGTGAATTTTATGCTATGTAGATTCTATCTCGATAAAGCTGGTATTAAAATGTGGCAGCATTTTTCACCTGTCAGATTGGCAATGCCTGAAAATTTGATAATACAAGGTGCTGATGAGGATGCGGTAGGTGTTGTTATTGTTGTCAGGTGTCATCGAATAGGTTCCGACTCATAGTGACCCTATGTACAACAGAATGACACGCTGCCTTGTCCTGCACCATCCTCAAAATCGTTGTTATGCTTGAGCCCATAGTTGCAGCCATTGTGTCAATCTGTCTCGTTGAGGGTCTTCCTCTTTTTCGCTGACCCTCCACTTTACAAAGCATGATGTCTTTCTCCAGGGACTGATTCCTCCGGATAACATGTCCAAAGTATGTGGGACGAAGTCTCGCCATCCTTGCTTCTAAGGAGCACTCTGGCTGTACTTCTTCCAAGACAGATTTGTTCGTTCTTTTGGCAGTCCGTGGTATATTCAATATTCTTCACCAACACCACAATTCAAAGGCGTCAATTCTTCTTCCATCTTCCTTATTCATTATCCAGCTTTAACATGCATATGAGGCGATTGAAAAACCATGGCTTGGGTCAGGCACACCTTAGTCTTCAAGGTGACATTTTTGCTTTATAACACTTTAAAGAGTTCTTCTGCAGCAGATTTGCCCAATGCAATGTGTCATTTGATTTCTTGACTGCTGCTTCCATGGGCGTTGATTGTGGATCCAAGTAAAATGAAATCCTTGACAACTTCAGGTAGGTACTCCGTATGCTGAAGGTGGTAGTGCAGGCTGGTACTGCCTCATCCATGGTGATGTCTCCCATGAACCTGTGCAGATTAAATGAGCTAATACTTTTAAATCAATACTATGACATAAATGTGAGTTATGATTGCTAATTCCATTTAGTCTATGTTGGTGTTTACCAGTTTCAAGATCATAGGGTGACAATCTCTAAATTCTGGAAGAAGCCTCACCACAGCACCACATGTACCAACCACAAAATGATTCTATGAATCTATGTTATGGATTGAATTGTGTCCCCAATATATGTTGAAGTCCTAACCCCTGCATTGGTGAATGTGGCTTTGTTTGGAGAAATAGGATTTTTCTTTGCAGATATTATCAGTTAACGAAGCTATACAGTTGTAGGCTGGGTCCTAATCCTAATCCCGTTTAAGTACAAGTGTCTATTTGCGTCCCTGCTTTCATTTCTTTGAGGACTATTTCTTAGATGAGTAAAGAAAAGAAGCACAAAGTTTTATGAGTGACATTATAATAATGCAAAAGCCTCATACTGAGACATTGATGATTAGCTTTTCATTTTTTAGTAAATCATTTAGCCTCAACGTTATCAGTGTTTGTAAATTCTTTGCACTTTTCAAAGCAGTTTTCTGTACATTAAACTCTTAAAACAGAACCCCCAGCAGAGGTCCCTCAGAAGTCAAGTGGGTGCTGATCAAGATGACAGACCCTGAACCCTTGGCAGTTCTACTGTGGAGGTTGGGGAGATACAGAACGCTCGCCCTGTGACATATCCTTGGAGGTTCAAACATCTGTCCTCCTACGGCAGAAAATGCCCGCCCCCCACAAGGGTGCCTCCTGTGTTCATGGGCTCTCCTGGAGCCACGTCTGGCCCTGGCAGAAGGAGGTCATAGGCAAAAGCCCATTTGAGATTACATCTGAGGCTCCTCTCAGTAGACTTGCTGGGCGCCCCTCTCTGGAATCAGAGAGCGTGTCCCTCCATTGACCTCTGCCTTTCTCACCCCACTCAGGAGCCACAGAGCTCCACTTAACACAAAGGCTCTTTTTCTTCTGAAACTCACAAAACCATGCACATTTCTCTCTGGCCAAAGGTAATTAAATGATATTTATTGAACCAAATGCAACCCCTAGGAGACCAGGGGTAAAGCACCTAGAGGGCCAGAAAGCCTTGGGTACGGAGACCTCAGGCAAGCCACTGCCCTTCTCGGAACCTCAGTTTCCTCATCTATAAAATGGAGATGAGACTTTTCATAGGGCTGTCATGAGGATTAGGGACAGAGTAGGTTTTCAATAAAACCAAATCCATTGCTGTTGAGTCAATACGGGAGCCCTGGTGGCACAGTGCTTAAGTGCTTGGCTGCTAAGTGAAAGGTTGGCAGTTCGAACCCACCATTACCTCTGTGGGAGAAAGATGTGGCAGTCTGCTTCCATAAAGATTTACAGCCTTGGCAACCCTATAGGGCCTATAGGGTTCCTATTAGTCAGAATCGATTCAACAGCAATGGGCTAGGTTCTCAATATATGATCCATCACTCTCATTTTGTTTGGAGGATAAAAAGATGATAGGGTCTGAGGCTCCTGCTCTTCATCGTATGAAAATGGGTAGAAATCAACAGTGAAGAACCAGGCAAGGTGCCACAGAAGAGAGTGGCCCTCCTGGGTGGCCCTTTGGGGTTGGTACAATTGCAAGGATCTTAGAAGGTTCCTGGTGGGAAACTCATGTGGAGCTGGACCTGGGGGAGGAGATGAGGTGGACAGAAGGGGTTATTTCAGGGTAGGATCTCTGTGACTTTGGGGTCAGGGTCAGGGTCAGAGTCAGAGGGCTGCAATGTGGGTATGGATATTGCCAGGGAGAACTTGGATTGTATGCCGAGCTGGTGAGAAGCCACCAGGAGGTCTCCTGGATTCACAGCAGAGGCTGAAGGAAAGGAATAGCTTCTGTGGGGAGGGTTGACTGAAGCGGAGAAGAGAACCTCTTTTTCAATAAAGAAACCAGGCTGCTGCAGGTAAGTAAACTTCTTAACACCACCCCACCCCGGACTGCATTTCTTCTGGGTGCAAATCTGCTCCACAGTGAGCCTCACCCAGGGAGGCCGGTGTGGGGGGGAGGGGAGGAGGAGGGATTGAATGAATAGCTGGGACCCGTCAGTTTCCAGACCTCTCTCTGTTTTCTTAAAGACAAGCCTCCCTGAGACAGAGCTTCACGACCCCCAAATGCCCCCTGCTCCCACCAGGCCCAGAGATCCTGTGGGTGGGCTGGTGATATGAGGTGTGTGCCAGGACCAGGGGGCGCGACCCCAGGGAGTGTGGGGTACAGAGAATGAGAAGCTCCTCAGGAGCCCTCAGAGACTTCATAAAGGCCGCCTGAGAGCCAGAGGGACAGGGCTGGCCCCAACCTTGGCAGAATTTTAGAGCTAAAGCGACATTTTAAGTTTACTCTGACAGGGAAATGGGTAATTGATAATTACTGGGTGCTTTATCTATGAGTGTCCTTATATACAACACATCACTTCACTTAATGGGCCACTGGAATACTTTCAGAGATGAGTTCATACCGCAGAAATATCAGGAGCACCGATAGGTGCTCTAACAGATGCATATAGCATAACACCTGAGGTAGAGGCTCCCTCTCGGCCCCACAGTCACTGGGAGTGGGTCCTGGATGAGGAGACAAATCCCTGCACCACCTCAGCCCTGCTGCTGCTTCTGCTCAGCCGAGTGACCCTGGGTTAACCTCTGCCCAGAGGTGAAGTAGCTCCTCTCAGGTCAAGTAGCAGTAAGGGGGCGCCCAGGACATGCAACGTGTCTGCCTGGCTCCAGGCCCTGCTTCCACCCCACAGGCTCTGAGCCCACTCAGCAGGGCCTCAGCCCTGCGTTCTTTCCAGAAACATACCAGACATCAGGCTGCTCCTGGGATAAAACCCAGGATCCTGGGCACGCTGTGAGATAGTTAGGGGTACAGGGACTCAAGCAAAAAGAAGCCTAAAGACAAGAAGGTATGTATATTGGGCGGGGGGCAGGGGGCTGGGAATGGGTGTTTTTGTTTTGTTTTGTTTTTTTCCAAACTGGAATGACATCTAGAAACCCTGGTGGCGTAGTGGTTAAGAGCTACAGCTGCTAGCCAAAAGGTTGGCAGTTTGCATCCACCAGGAGCTCCTTGTAAACCGTACGGGGCAGTTCTACTCTGTCCTATAGGACCGCTATAAGTCGAAATCGACTTGACGGCAAAGGGTTTTTTAACGGGAACGACATCTACTGTCCCAAAGAGTGAGCATGTTTTCTCTTTTCTTTGGCATTTTATTCTGAAATTCGAAAGGTCTGTTCTCAGCAGGGTCTCTTTCTCCCCGTCCCCTATTTCTTCTTCCGTTTTTTAAATCGTAGTCCTCCTCTCCATTTTCCACACTTCTGTTTCCTTGCACCTACATGTTTGATCTTGTCCCTTGAGATGAGGAGCCTGCTACTCTAGATCCTTTGTTTAAGGTGTCCGCTTTAACCCTCACAGTAACCCTATAAGGTAGGTGTCATTGCCCCATTTTAGAGATGAGAAAACTGAGGCTCCAGGTTGGGTGCATGTGGCTAGCTGGAAGACGTCCATGCGGTCCTTGCAGCAGCTACAGTCTGGGTGGTGCCCCTGAGGGGACCCCTCGACCAGGTCCCGGACCCTGGCAGACCTACGGGGTGAGAAGGTCAGCCCCGCCCAGCCTCGCCCGGCCCCACCCTAGTGTCGCTTGCTGGCAACTTGTTACCCTGTTTCTCCCCCCCTGCGCTCCCATTGGCCGCAGCCACGCGTCCCCATTGGCTGCAGGGCCGGGGACTGGGCTGCGATTGGTCTCCGGGTGCCGAGGTGCGAGGTCTGTCTCTGGCCAGGCAGGGGGTCCGATGGCACTGCGGCCGGGTGACGGCCGTGACTGCCTGCCCGGTCCCGGAGCCGGGACCCCTGTGCACCGGCGCCTCTCCCTCCGCTTATGCGTATGCACCCAGTGCTGCTGGGGTGCGCTCCCCTCATCTCCAGAAAGGGGTGCTGTGCGTGAGGTGCAGCGCACACCGAACTGACTCCACCGGGTGTGTGCAAACAGGTGAGCATCTAGGTCTGGGGTGGGAGGCTTTAGAGCAAGCGTTTGTAATTGTTATCATGACTGCCTTCATATTTCAGGGAATGATTTTGGATTTTTTTAGCTCTCTCTATATAATCTGATATGTATGGGGATTCAGAGGACGCTGCCTGTGGGTTGCAGTGATCTATGTGGTGTGTTGTATGTGTGTGCCTAGAGGCTGCTAATGTGAGTAGTTCACACTCAAAAGCTGTGTGGAGCGATGCTTAAAAGTGATTGAAAGTTTCTCTGAAACTTGGAGAAGATGAGGTCACTTTTTTTTTTAGTCTATAAAGTTCTTTAAAATGTCATCTCTAAGTGCATTTTAAGTGGTATTTTAATAGAAAAGTATTTGCTAATGAAGTGTGCTTCATAGATGAGAAGTAATAAAAACAAGGTATGTGGCAGTATGAATCTTCATAGAATGCTGTCTTAGAAGAATGCATCAAGAAGCTGTTTTCTGACCTTTGTTAGGCTGAAGGATTATGCTTGTCAACTTAATCTGATGAACAAGGGTGAACAAAAAAAAAAAATTAAGGGAAAAAAATGTAGATGCTATGGCCATTCTTTACACACCTGATAGGATTTTTGGTCCCAGTTTGCTGCAGAGTGGGCTTTTGCACGTAGAAAGTGCTCAGTAGACATTTGTCCGCTGCACTGCAGTCCCCAGAATTCCTTAAGACACAGGTTCTCATGCTGTAGTCTGCTCCGGACGCCCCTTGTGTTGGAATAAGAGTGGCTTGTGCTGCTTACCTTTGCTCTTGGAAGTGGACAAGTTTGAGCTGTCATCTAGTTAAAGACTTTTTCACCTCCTGTATGCAGGCACAGCGGTTAAGAGCTCAGCTGCTAACCAAAAAGTCAGCAGTTCGAATCCACCAGCCGCTTCTTGGAAACCCTATGGGACAGTTCTACTCTGTCCTTGCAGGGTTGCTATGAGTCGGAATCGACTCAACGGCAAAAGGTTTGGTGTTTGTTTGTTTTTTGTATGCAGGTAAAGAAATTCAGACCTAGAAAGATTGCTTGGCTAATGCAAAGCCACATGGCTGCGTATCATAGAGCTAGGGTTATGACCCAGGGCTCTTGAGCCAATCCATAGTCCAGCCTGCCTAGTACCAAGTGCATCATCCCACCTGCCCTGGAGTCTTAAGACCATCTTCCTTCCACCTACTATCTTTGTACTGAGTTTCCTCAAGTCTCACGCTTTTTAGCTGCCCAAGTTTGCACTCACCCCTCCAACCAACCCCAGTTTTCTGAGTCACGAAGGAATATCCCTTCCCACCTCTCTTATGTAGCAATTATCCAACATCAATCCCAAAGGGATTTATAAGCTTCTCAAATGTATTACCCCTCCCCATGAATCTTGCTGAGCACTGAATTCATGAGATAGTGAATACTGGGGGCCCAGAGAGGTCTTTTGGATTATAGTGGAACTAAGCTGTCATACCCTATCCCAAGTTTTTTGCTTAATCTTCATTTTCCTTTCACGCATTCAACCCAGCCTCTCTGCTCATCTCCGTGGCCATGCCTGGGTGTTAGGTAGGGGCAGATTTTCCAATAGGCAAGGTAAGCACCATGCTTGCCTTGCTTACCAGATCATCTGCAGTGAAACTCTTTACTACAGATTAGTAAGTAAGCACAAGTTAGCCTGTGCTTACCTTGCTTACTAAGTCATCCATCCCTGTTAGGAATTATGAATTTGAAAAGAGGCTTTGATTTTATAGGAAGGTGCTATGGGGTTGTGAGAGAAACAGATGCCAGCCATACCTAGAAGCAGAATCTTTGTTGTACTGAAAAAATGTGAAATTTTTCACTACAGATGATCTGGTAAGCAAGGTAAGCACCATGCTTACCTTGCCTGCTGGATAATCTGTCCCTGGTCTTAGGGGCTCAGGAGTAGCAAGTAATGGAGAGTCTTCCCCCTATGGGGGAGGCAGAGGACTACACCCTTATCTGGTGACATTCAGATAGTTTGGGCAGAGGGTGTTTGGGTAGAGGCCTGGGTTCCCCAAGAGCTCAAAGGTTTTTGAAATTAATACTCCTTGAGATCCTGGAGGACCTGGCGTCTGCCTGGATTCATCTAGAACAGCGGGCAGGGTTTCCCATCAGGTCCCCTTTTGTATGTATGTTGGCTTAAAATCCCCGGTGCCCAGGCATATCTGTGTCTCTTTAAACAAGTAAAGAAAACCTATGTTCTTAGGTTCAAAAGGGTCTCATTTTTCCCCGGGCAGTTCAAAACCTCCATTGTCTCACTTTGCTTCCTAGTAAAGGCTTGTTAAAAACCAGAAGCCAAACCCATTGCCATCGAGTCGATTCCGACTCATAGTGACCCTACAGGACAGAGTAGAACTGCCTCATAGAGTTTCCAAGGAGCGCCTGGTGGATTCGAACTGCCAACCTTTTGGTTAGCAGCAGTAGCTGTTAACCAGTACACCACCAGGGTTTCCAAAGGCTTGTTGGGGTCTGGAAATTGGAGACTATACAGGTGTGACCTCAGTTAAACCTAGCCCTAGAGCTGGAGGGCACCTCTGCGGGCTGCGGCTGTCCCCCTCAGCCAGGGTGTGACTCCTGGTAATCAATGTCCCAGGAGCTGATATGGGCAGTCAAAGTGACACCCCCTTACCATCTTCCTGCCACTGTTCTGAGAAGCCAGCTGAGGGAAAGCATCAGGGCGCGCAGACACACTGGACAAGACTGCATTGCTGAGGAGAGGTTTGCTTGCAGACCTAAGTGCTGTTTTAGAACCCCACCTGGGGTTTACTCTCGCTTCGGTGGATTCTCCCCCTAAAAGTTAGAGGGAAAGGTTTCTTCCATCTCCGTCCCTCGATACGCTTTAGGGAGGAGATACTGCTCCAGCTGCTGCCAGCTGTGGTGGTGGTGCCTGTAACACTCTGAACGCATGGGTCACCTGGGGAGTGTGTTACCTATGCAGACGCCCAGGCCCAGTCCCTAGCAAATTCAGATCCAGTGTTTTGGATACAAGGCCGGGCATGTGCATATTCGACAGTCTTCCCAGGTAACTTGGACCTACGCCAAACTTGGAAAAACCCGGCCGAGGTCAGGCATTGTCCCTGGACAGCAGGACTGAGCTCAGAGGAGAGTGACCCAGGGGAGACCTCCCTCTTAAATTCCCTCAAAATGCCAGCATGGAGGGCCTATTGGCACAGGCCCTGTGCTGAGCCTTGGGGGTACCACAGGTGAAGAAGAACTATCAGAGCAGTAGGGAGCCCCTGTCCTCTGCGAGGGGGGTGGGCATGTGAGGGAGAGTTCCTCTGCTCAGGTAAAAGGCCCTGGTCCCATCTACAGCACACACACATACACATACACATACGTACCACACTCTCATGCACACACCACACACAAACTACACTAACGCACATGCATCACACACACACTTCTCACACACATGCACCACACACAGGCGTACCACATTGTCGCCCACGCACCACACACACATACATACACATGCCACACACACATGCACACATGTACCACACATACCACACACATGCATATACCACACACACACACACACCACATTCACACACCACACACGCACCACATACACACACACCACAGGTACCACACACATCACACATACGTGCACACACATATCACACACACGTATCATACACATTCATGCACATGCACCACACACACAATCACCTCGCCTAGGAAAGGGCCCCTTGTGTATACCAGAGTCACCTGCGAGCTCAGATGTGGTCGCCGAAGGACAACATAACGATCCTCCTCAGAAACCACTGGAAGCAAGACAAGGTACACCCACTGCTGCTTGCTGTCATGCCAAGTGGCCTTTTGCTTTTAGAGGTATTAGGGTACATTCTTTTCTTTTTGAGTTATAAGAGAGGTACAGAAAAGTGCACGAATCTAAAGTATACAGCGTGATGGGTTTTTTGATATGTATACATTGGTGTGACCATACCCAGATCAAAGAGGGGTGCCTTCTTAAGGTGGGAAAGACCTCAGAGGGTGGGAACCGTGTCTGTTCAGATTTTAATGGACTGGTAAAGAACACGATCTCAGGGAATGGCTGGGCTCTCCATGGCCACAGCAGTCAATTAACAAGTGTCTGGTGAGTATCCACAATGTGCTGGAAACTTCTTGGTGTAAGCAGTCTCGCCCCTCAACTGTGAGTCAAGTATGGGTGGCTTATGTCTTTAGGAGTGGAGCTTAAACAACAGATTTTGTGTCATCTGGTATTTATTCTGTACCTGTTATTGATTACGTTCATTGCTTTGGGATCTTTCATTTGGGGGAGCACCCCCTTTCTGTCTGCTTCTATCTGCCTTCTTTTTTCTTTAACAGTGTGTCTTTATTATTTAGGGGGGAAGCATAATATTACATTGCAGCTTGTAATGGAGACCTCTGGAGAGGGCAGCAACCCCAGTGGCAGAGCAACACCCCGGCCCACAGTGCAGCTGCCAGAGCTTGAGCCCCGGGTGGCCCGCAGACGCCTGTCCCAGGCTCGGCACCGCGCCACCCTGGCAGGGCTCTTCAGCAACCTCAGGAAAACTGTTTATTCCCAGTCTGACCTCACAGCCTCAAAGGTATGGGGACTGGAGTGTGGGGAGGCGGAGAGGCTTCTACTCTGGTGGGACAGTGGAGCGAGGTGGGGGACTGGCCTGGAGCGGCCTCTCCTAGCCACCCCTACACCTGAGGCCAGGCCAGGATGTCTCGTGGCTCTATGTCTGCTGCTGCACTGTGGACAGTGTGAGAGAGGGGCCTCACTGACCTGGGGCAGACCAGCCTGCTGTCAGAGGGGAAGTCAAGGGCCTGAGGAGAGGCCTGGTTATTGCGCCTACCTTTCCAAAGGGAGGCACAGAGCCTCCAGCAGTTCCAGGAACCCACACCTCCACCCCAAACACATGCAATGCCACACATCACAAACACACACATCCTCCTACACACACCCCACAGAGCACACACACACCACACCACACATACACCCCACATACCACACACCACAAACACACCCCCACACACGCACCCTGCATACCACACATCACACACATACACACACATACACACACCACAAACACACCCCACACATACACAACCTACATATCACACACCACACACACATGCACATACACACACCACAAACACACCACACACACACCCCACATACCACACGCACACGCACATACACACACCACAAACACACCACACACACCCCAACACACCACACACACCCACACACACCTCACACATACACCCCTCATACCACACACCACACACACACATGCACATACATACACCACAAACACACCACACACACACCCCACATACCACACACACATACACCTCACTACAAGCACACATACCCCCCACACACCCCATGTACCACACACCACAAACACCCCACACACACCACACTACAAACACACCACACACACACACCCTATATACCAGACCACACTACAAACACACACACCACACATACCACACACACCACAAACACACACCCCACATATCACACACTACAAAGACACCACACACACATGCACACACACACACAGCCACACCACACTACAAACACACAAGCCCCCCACAAACACCCCCCCACCCGCTACACACCCCACATACCACACACCACAAACACACACACACCACACATGTCACACACACACACACCACACACCATACACACATACATGTACCACACACATGCACACATCACAAACACATACGCACCCCACACACAGGAATTATGCATCACGTACACACACCACACACCCACCACGCACAACCCACATACCACACACTACACACATATACCACACACACGCACACACACGTACCACGCCCTCAGTTTTCGCTTCCACACTAGCCAGGTAACAGACAGTTTCTTCAGGTAAGCATCTATCTTTTCCTAGTCTTAATTCCACTTTTCTCCTCATTCGGCGGTTTATTGCAAATCAGTGCCTCTGACAGAGCAATGAGGAAGGTTTGGGTGGTTTTGAATGGTGGCAGCGGGTGGTGCAAACAGTTAAGCACTCGACTACTAGCCAAAAGGTTGGCGGTTCAAACCCTCCCAGAGACACCTTGGAAGACAGGCCTGGCGATCTGCTTCCCGAAGTTCACAGCCTCGAAAGCACTATGGAACACAGTTCTACTCTGCACATACAGGGTCGCCATGAGTCAGAATCGACTCGATGGAGATTAACAGCAACAGCAGTGGAATGGAGTTCATATTAATGGTAGAAGCCTCATAGGAGGCCAGAGTGGAGAGGCCCACAGTCCCTGCCATTGGCTAGTGAGGGGTGTGCATGGTGGCAGCCCAGCTAGAGAAAGAACAGGCATCAGGGCCTCACAGACAGAAATGGAAGTAAACCCAAAGGAAAACTACTTGCATCCCTAAAATGTGCACCTCATGATGAAGTGGTTGAAAACATGGTGCTTTTTTGTTTGTTTTGGTTTTTTTTTTACCACCTCCCTATAGGGTCGCTGTGAGTCAGAATCGACTCGACAGCAACAGGTTTGTTCTTAAAGGGGGCACTGGGTGATGTACCCCAGCATCCACTCCTGGGTAGTGGTGGTGGAGTGAGCTCCCTCTTCAGGGCTCTAATTGCCTCCCGGTCACAGAGCAGTTGTAATGATGGTGACAGGAATGTGTAGTAAAATGAGGAGATATCTTTCTAATGTGATTCAGAGACAGAGTTAAGATTACAAATCCGTGAAATTAAGTGGGTGGTGGTGGTGGAAATAGCCTCAGTAATAGAGATTGAGGCTCCGTGATTGAAAGTTTTGAAGAAATACTTAGAGAGGATAGAATTATATAATACATAATACTACAAAGGATGTTGTTGTTGTTGGGTGCAGTTGGGTCGGCTCCAACTCATAGCGACCTTATATACAACAGAACGAAACATTGCCTGGTCCTGTGCCATCCTCACAATCATTGCTATGTTTGAGCCTATTGTTGCAGCCACTGTGTCAATCCATCTTGTTGAGGGTCTCCCTCTTTTTCCCTGACCCCCTGCTTTACCAAGCATGATGTCCTTCTCCAGGGACTGGTCCCTCCTGATAACAGGTCCAAAGTAAGTGAGACAAAGTCTCACCATCCTCACTTCTAAGAAGCATTCTGGCTGTACTTCTTCCAAGACAGACTTGTTTGTTCTTCTGGCCATCCGTGGCATATTCAGTACTCATTGCCAACACCACTATTCAAATGTGTTAGTTCTTCGTCGATCTTCCTTGTTCATTGTCCAGCTTTCACATGCATATGAGACAATTGAAAATACCATAGCTTGGGTCAGGCACACCTTAGTCCTCAAGTGACATCTTTGCTTTTTAATACTTTAAAGAGGTCTTTCGCAGCATATTTTTCCAATGCAATATGACATTTGATTTCTTGACTGCTGCTGCCACGGGCATTGATTGTGGATCCAAGTAAAATGAAATCCTTGACAACTTCAATCTTTTTTCCCCTTATCATGATGTTACTTATCGGTCTAGCTGACTATAAAGGATAGCATTATATAAAATAAAGGAAAAGAAGAAGAAAAGAAGTGAGGAAATTCAGAATTCAAGTTGACAGAGCATTTGATAAGCATCTAGACCACCTGGAGAGTACGCATTTAGCAAACAAAAGTACTGTTAGACTAGTGCATTCAATATTAGCCAGCCCTTGAGCAACATTATGACTGAGCAGGAGTCTAGTCTGTGCTTTTGTGCAGCCTTGGGATTTATGTCCAGCAGACGGGGCCTCTTTAGCCACGAATGTTCGTTCCTCCTCCAAGTAGCACATGTGGTCATTTGCCTTTTTTGGCAGCAGTAGTAGCTTGCAGAAAGCAGCTTCCTTGTTTCCAGATATGTTGGTATTTCAGTGAGAATCCATGTCTAAGATACCCATTAAGCCTCATGCCTTCCATGCATCAGAATAAACTTCTTATCCTTTTTACTGACTCCCTCATGGACGTGACCGCGTCTGTGGGAGCCCGGCCTCAGGACAGGAAAGGGGCCACAAAACCAGCCTCTGCAGTGAAAGGCCGACTTGAGCGTCGTCTGTCTCTGTCCTCAGTGGCAGGTTCTGAATAAGGCGAAGACCCATATTCAGGAACTGGAACAAACCTTGGATACTTTGCTGCAGCTGAAAGGTAATAGATCACAACCCGCCACCCTCATCTCCCTCCCAGGGGAGAACTGCTTCGATTTTTCTATTAAACCAAGTCAAGAAATATTTACTGAGTGCCTACTGTGTCCCTGGGTGGCGCAAGCGGTTTGTGCTCAACTTCTAACCAAAAGTTGGCAGTTCAAACCCACCCAGCAGTGCCACGGAAGAAAGGTGTGATGATCTGCTTTTGTAGAGATTACAGCCAAGAAAATCCTCTGGAGTAGTTCTACTCTGCACATATGGGGTCGCCATGAATTGAAATTGACTGGATGGCAACTGGTTTTGTTAAGCTAGTGGAAGATGAACTCGGAACGGGATACTTTCAGTTTCCTATTTCTGAGTTACTGCCCGTTCTGGAAGCGTTTCCCTCAGTCTAGTGTTCTTCCCTTGCTCCTTCAAGGAGAGGTAGAAACCAGGCTCCTGGCACCCTAACACTGAACCTGTGTGGCTTCAGGGATCTCCCGGGCTCCCGCAGGCCAGAGAGGCAGGGGAAACTCAATAAAGGCCTAACTTGTGCTCTTTCCTTCAACCCCTCGATAGAATCCTTCAACCTGGACGATGGGAATGCTAGAAGCTTAGAGGAGGTCAAGGAGGAATACGCCAGAATGTACTCCAGGAATCTCAGGTAAGTCCCAGCCAGCACCAGGAGCCTGGGAACGTGCTGTTCTTCTCTCCCCCACAGCCCCAGATGCCGTGCCAGCACAGCCCAGTCATGTAGAAAGGAAGTCTCCTATGGCTTCCGAGCTGGGGGAATACTTAGGAAGACTTTCCCCACTCAGAGATTATTAAAAAGAGTTGGCCCATGTTTTCCTCTGGCGCATCTTGCTTTTTCACACAACATGGTGCCTTGGGGGTTATTCCCTATCCGTATGAAGAGATTCTGTATTCAAGTCCTGTATCAGAGATATGATTGCAAGTATTTTCCAAATTGTCCCGTCATGTCATTCTCAAAAGGGTGTTTCTGAGGAACAGAAGTTCCTCCCCCTCCTTTTTTTTTTAATAGTTGTGTTTTCTCTCCAGCGTGGAACCTCGTAGGGCTCATCAGAAGGGCTCCTCCTGGTGCCTGGTTGACACAGTCTTGAAGGATGCTGAGGAGGAGGAAGAGGAAGAGGAGGAAGAGGAGGAAGACCAAGAAGAGGAAGACCAAGAGGAGGAAGACCAAGAGGAGGAAGAAGAGGAGGAGGAGGGGGAAGACGAGGAGGAAGAAGAGGAAAAAGCGGAGCTCATACACTCCCCAGGCACCTTGTCGCCAGACCTCATGGAATTTGAACGGTGAACAGCGGGTGGTCAGCCCAGGACAGCCCAGGACAGGGAGCTCCCTGGGGAAGGGGAGGAGGCTCCTATGGGGGCAGGCTGCAGCCCCAAGGCACTCAGACCAGCCCTGAATCCTGGAGGCTCCAGACTTTCCATGCAAGAGCTGCCTGAGAATGGGGTTGGCAGATGGCTAGAGAAATAGTCTGAAATCTACATTTGCATAGCACAGTGTCTTAGTCATCTAGTGCTGCTCCAACAGAAATAGCGCAAGTGGATGTCTTTAACAAAGAGAAGTTTATTCTCTCACAGTCCAGTAGGCTACAAGTCCAAATTCAGGGCATCAGCTCCAGGAGAAGGCCCTCTCTCTCTGTCGGCTCTGGAGGAAGGTCCTTGTGATGCATCAGTCTTCGCCTGCTCTGGGAGCTTCTCTGCGCAGGAACCTCAGGTCCAAAGGACATGCTGTGCTCCTGGCACTGCTTTCTTGGTGGTATGAGGTTCCCATGTGGCTCTGCTCACTTCTGTCTTCTATATCTCAAAAAAGATTGGCTTAAGACACTATCCAATCTTGAATATCTCATCAGTATAACTGCCGCTAATCCATCTTATTAGATCATAGTGATTGAATTTGTAACACATAGGGAAATCACATCAGATTATAAAAAGGCACACAATTACGCAATACTGGGAATCCTGACCCAGCCAAGTTGACAGATATTTTTGGGGGACACAATTCAATCCACGACACACGGACACTGTTTTTACTTAGACTGGGTGTTTATTTGGGGCACCTTTGCTGGAGGAGGACCCTGGGTAGCGTAAATGGTTTATGGTTGACTTCGTCGTTGTCATTGTTAGGTGCCATTGAGTCGGTTCCTACTCATAGCTACCCTGTGTACAACAGAAGGCAACACTGTCCAGGCCTGCGCCATCCTCACAATCGTCGTTATGCTTGAGCCCGTTGTTGTAGCCACTATGTCAATCCATCTCGTTGAGGGTCTTCCTCTTTTTTGCTGACTTCTCTACTTTACTCAAGCATGATGTCCTTCTTCAAGGACTGGTCCATCCTGATAACATGTCCAAAGTATGTGAGACATAGTTTCCCCATCCTTGCTTCTGAGGAGCGTTCCGGCTGTTCTTCTTCCAAGACAGATTTGTTTGTTCTTCTGGCAGTCCATGGTATATTCAATATTCTTCACCAACATCCTAACATGATTACAGTGAGAAAAACCCTGTGGAGCACAGTTCTAGTCTGTAACACCTGGGGTAGCCATGAGTCGGAGTCGACTTGACAGCAACTAACAACATCAAGCACAACAATGATTGTGAGGATGGTGCAGGACCGGGAAGTGTTTCCTTCTGTTGTACACAGGGTTGCTAGGAGTCTGAAGTGCTTCGACGGCACCCAGCAACAACAAGCCACTCTGTGGGAGAAAAGACCTGGCAATTTGCTTCCATAAAGATTAAAAACCAAAAAAACCCATCGCCATTGAGCCCATTCCGACTCACAGCAACCCTATAGTAGAACTGCCCCACAGGGTCTCTTTAGCTGTAATCTTTACAGGAAGAGATCACCAAGTTTTTCTCCCAAGGAGTGGCTGGTGAGTTTGAATTGCCAACCTTTCGGTTAGCAACCGAGCACTTAACCACTGTACCAGCAAGCCTCCTTAGGTTTGATTTACCTGGTAAACCAAACCAAACTCACTGCTGTCGAGTCGATCCTGACACATACCGACCCTGTAAGCCAGAGTAGAACTGCCCCATAGGGTTTCCAAGGAGAGCTGGTGGGTTTGAACTGCCAACCTTCTGGTTAGCAGCTGAGCCCTTAACCACTTCGCCACCAGGACTCTTTGGGCCTGACTTAGAGGCCCCAAATTAAAGCACAAGGCATGTCATGCCTGCACATTCGTGGGCTCAGAATTTTCAGATATTTTCCAGTGGGGTGAGAGCTAAGCCAGCCACACCTCTCATCTTATCTTCTATCGGACAGAGAGCTTCATAGGGCACTGGGAGGAACTGGGGAGGGACCCCAAAGCACAAATCAATTTCCTCCATGGCCCCCAAGATGGTGTCTGCTTGCCAAGGGTCTGGAGTGTGTGTAGACTTGTAAGGTGAATACCCTGAGAGACCCCAGGGCTAGCCTATTGGGTGGACGGCAGGGCCTATTGTCCATGGACTCCCCAATGGATGAATCCTGAGGAGACGGCTTCTGGGAGGACCTTCAGTCCCCGGCTGCCAGTTTGAGGGTTGGGGCCATTTCTGTTCCAGGTATCTCACCTTCTACAAGCAGACAATGGACCTTCTGACTGGGAATGGGATCATCGCCTCACAGGAGGTGACGCTCCCCATCATCTCTGCGGCCATCTCCCACCTGTGGCAGAACCTCTCTGAGGAGAGGAAAACCAGTCTCCTGCAGGCCTGGGCAGAGAAGCACAGCGGCCTCCCGGACCTCAGAGAGGCCTGTCAGGAGCTGGCCTGCACCGAGGGCAGCATGAAGGACAGTGGAGTGGACAGCCAGGGGGCCAGCTGCTCACTGGTCTCCACTCCAGAGGAGGTACACAGACCATGGGGTAAGGGGAGGGTGCCACGGAACAGTTCTGTGTCACCCTCAGCCTGGAGACACCAGGGATTTGCTTGGGGTCGTTTAGCAACTTGGAGGTGCTGTTTGGATTCTAGTGTTGTTGTTGATGTTAGTTGCCGTCAAGTCGATTCTGACTCACGGCCACCCCATATGTGCAGAGTAAAACTGTTCCATTGGGTTTTCAATGCTGTGACCTTTCAGAAGCAGATCTCCAAGCCTGTCTTCTAAGGGGCCTCTGGGTGGGTTTGAACCACCAACCTTTTGGCTACTAATCAAGCATTTAACCGTTTGTGCCACCCAGGGTCTATAGATTCTAATAGGTTCCTGGTTTTCTGACATAATCGCCACAATTTCCACAACATAATCCCAACGTGATCTCCATGGCCAGGCAACAGCAGTTCTTTTTCTCCTTTGAGTTTCCTGGCCTTTCTGTAGGGATTATAGAAGATTGTATCAGTTGGGATTCTTTTGGCTGCAAGCTACTTAATTATAAAACGTGAAGAAAGTTCGTACTCACGTCCACGGGCCGGGCGGCCTCCTGGTTATCCTAGAGCTCGGTGGTGTCACCCCGGACCTGACTCTTCCTCGTCTCGCTTGGCTTCATCTTCGTTTCTTACCCTCCCCCTGCCCCATTCCCCCCTCCACTGTGACTGTGGAATGGCATCTGCTAGCAATCGAGCGGTAAGAGAGAGATTTCCTGTGGCTCTTCTTGAGAGTTGTGGAAGATCTTTTCCTGAAGCTTCCAACACACCTCCTGTGCCCCTTACTGGCCAGATTATTGAGCCAAGGACTGGCAATTGACATAGCATTACCTTTGGACAAGTCAGGTCCATCTGAGAGACGACAGTTTGTGCCCCAAAGAGCGTTGCTACCAGTCAGCAAGAGGGCAGAGTGTGTGCTGAGAAGGGGCCACCTCTTCCACGATAACTGTGCATTTCAGAACAGCCCTGGCCTGCCATGCAGAGCCTCTGGGGCATTAGTGGTAGTCCAGTGTGGAGGTAAGGGCAGACCCACAGTTGCTCTTCTAGAAGCAGAAGGACCTCAGAAGGCTGCTACTACCACGTGTGGTCGCCAGAGCCTCCTCTCCCTCCCGGGGCTGGCAGTTTGCTCTGGGCAGTGAGGAGCTCAGGACTCAAGCCCTGGGAAGACCACCAAGCAGGGAGCAGAGACCCTGGTCCAGCTGGCTTTGGGCTCGGTGCAAGGAGTGAGTGCCTTCCTGCTCATCACTCCCCAGCAGCCCAGAGCAAGCGTCAGACTGTAAAGTGTTTCCTGAGACAGGAAGTCCTGTGCTGTCTTTCAGATCCTTTTTGAAGATGCCTTTGATGTAGCAAGTTTCCTGGACAAAAGTGAGGCTCCGAGTACATCGAGCCCCAGGTGAGGTGGCTGAGGTACCTTGGAAAGGGGTACGAATTAGCATGTGTTAGTGTGTGTGAGAGTGAGGATGAGTGTGTGAGTGAGTGTGTGAATGTAAGTGTGTGTATGTGAGTTTGTGTGTGTGTGTGTATATGTGAGTGTGTGTGTGAGTGTATGTGAGCTTGTACCTGGATGGGTGACTATAAATGTATGTGAGTGTGTGTGCGAGTGTGTGAGTTTGTGTGAATGAATTGTGTGTGCCAGTGTGTACTGTGTGCATGGAAGTGTGTCTCAGTGTGTCTGAATGTTCTGAGTGTATGTGTTATGTGTGGCTGTGAGTGAGTGACTGTGTGTGCATGGGTGTACACCCCCTCTGGGAGGTCAGGAGCCTCTTCCCTATAGACCCTCAGAGGGGTATATCACTCAATGAAAGTCCTTGGGGACCCACTTCTTCCTGTCATTTGAAGTGGGCTGATCCTCGGATTGTGCCATTGCCCTGGGGGTGACATTGTCTGGGGTTTCCTCAGAGCGTGGACTTCTCCCATCCTGGCCCGGGGCTGGGACACAGGTTGTCGGGCAGGTAACAGCTCAGGGCTGTGGAGACAGTCTGCTCTCCCAGGGCCTAGTGGCCCGGGCCAGAGACAGCCTTGGTCTGCCTGAGAGGTGGTAGTGGCTCTGGGGCCCAGAGACCCTGGACCGCATCAGGGTGGCCTGTGCCCTGAGTCCAGGAGGGTCTCTGAGCCGTGCAGGAGCTGCTCCTCATGGTGCCGATGGGAGCTGAGGTGCCAAGCGGGGAGGATGGGTGGAAGGAGAGACACAAAACAGAACCTGGGAAGGTTTAAAACCAGACGCAGCTTGACTGAATCAGTACCGATTTCTCAGAGAGAGCTAGATTAGAACTGAAATTCCCTTGGCTACTTTGCTCGTGTCATGACTGAAAACAAGCCTGAACATCTAGCTTTGCGCCTTGGAAGTGAGAGGGGCATTCATGTCCCCACTGTCCTTTCCACAGCTGCCCAGCCTGAGGGCAGCCCCTGAGTCATGTGGCCACAGAGGCCCCTGGTGGCCTGGCCTGCCCCCTTCACTACCCCATCAAGGCCTGGACGGACCCTGGAGAAGTGGGATTCCAGAGGCGGGCTTTGCCTTCTCCAAAGCGTTTCCATGTGGTAACTCAAGCCCCCTCAGCAGTGTGTGGAGTTTAATTTTGTTGAAACTGGCTTGAGGCAGACAGTCCCACTTCTAAGCTTGGCTCCGGCCTCTGAGACAGCTTTGGAGAGAAGTTTCCACAGTGAGCTGGTCAGGCAACATTGTGAACTCCTTACTGCGCGGATGGAAAAGACAACCCGTGAGGACTGTTTTTCTACTTTCCCTAGAAAAGGCAGGGTTGCTGCCAGAGGGTTCCTAAGCTGACTGTGGGGGTGCATCCCAAGAGGAGGGGAGGCCTGAACACCGCTCTCCTGCCACAGATCACAGCTTCTCTGCTCCAAGTTCTCAGAGGAAGGGGCGTCCTCCAACCCCGGAAGGCAGTGGAAAAGGAAGTCTGCAACGCAGGCCTCGATCCTGCGTCTGGGCTCACGTTCCGTGTTAGACTCACGGAGGGGAAGTCCCAAATGTGTGATGTGCCTCTGGGCCCCCCAGGGTGCAACCCCCAGGGGAACCCTGTGGCATTGCTGCTCAAAGTTGGCTCCAAGGGGTGGAGGAAATCTTGCTCCCTTCTTCCAGAAGCCACGGCTCAGAATGCTAAATCAGGGCACAAGGGCCAGTCTGGCCGTGGTCTCGTCTTTGTGTGGTTCCTGGAGTGACGTTTGAGCTTAGACGAGGCAAATCTTTCAGGAAGGGTTCCAGGCTGCCCAGGAATTCGACTGAGCATTTACAAGTGCCTGGTTCCTACTGTGATCAAAATATTTTAGGGGATATTTTTTGTTGTTGCCTTTGAGCCAATTCTGACTCATAAAGACTCCACATGTGCAGAGTACAACCACTCCGTAGGGCTTTCAAGGCTGGACCTGTCTTCCGGGGCACCTCTGAGTGGGTTCGAACCACCAACCTTTTGACGAGTAGTCGAGTGCTTAGCCATTTGCACCACCCAAGCAGAGGTGAAAGGTCAGGACTTTAAATATTTGCTGTTTCTTCTCTCTTTCTGTGTCCAGTTCAGTGTTTGCCATCAGCAACCTGGAGAATCCAGAGGAGAAGTTTCAGCTCTACACACAGATCCTTGACTTTTTAAAAGGCCTTTGCTGTGTGAATGCTCAGTTAAAACAGGTAGGACAGAGCTGGGTGCCAGGACACTGCCCCCCACCTCCCTGAAGACGGCACAAAGGTCTTGTTGTGGGATACCGAGCTGGACCAGATCACACCCAAAAGCAGCCACTAGGTGGGGGACCGCCCTCCATTCTCTCTGGACGGCTGACTTCAGCCTAATGCGCCTTACGGAATGGGAAATGTTGGGGGGAAAGCTGGGGAGAGAGGCTGAGGGCTGCCCCGCAGGGCAGAGCTGGGACGGTGAGCCCTGAGCCCATATCCCAGGGCCGGCTCTCAGCAGGCACTTGTCAATGCTGGCCAATCCTTGCCACCTTTCAGAAGCCCCAGCCATTTCATCATCTTCTGAGACCCTTGGGGTACTGTTTGCCATCAGCTTTTGAAGGACGTTAATATCTGCCTCCAGAAAGCTGACTGTGCGTTTATGGTGACTTAGTGGTGGGAATCTTGGTCACAAAGTGTCTTCCTCATGGCTTTTATTGGGGGGGGTGGCGCCTGGGCTGCCGGGGGGCAGGCCCTGTCAGGTTTATAGCTGTGGATTTTCTCTACTCACTTAACAAAAGTACACTGCTTATTAAAACAGGTAAGCCATAAAAATGGCAAACCTTGGTCTAAAACTGATCAGGCTGTCCTTTCAATAGGCTAAGGTATAATTAAGGCCCCTAAGTGGCACAATTGGTTTGTGCTCAACTGCTAACCTACAGGTTGGCAGTTCAAACCCACCCAGCATGCCGTGAAAGAAAGACCTGGCGATCCGCTTCTGTAAAGATCATTCTTATTAGGTGCCATGGAGTACGTTCCCACTCATAGCGACCCCGTGTACAACAGAACGAAACACTGCCTGGTCCTGTGCCATCCTCACAATCTTTGCTATGTTTGAGCCCATCACTGCAGCCACTGTGTCAATCCATCCCATTGAAGGTCTTCCTCTTTTTCACTGACCCTCTACTTTACCAACAATGTTGTCCTTCTCCAGGAGCTGGTCCCTCCTGATAACTTGTCCTAAGTACGTGAGACAACGTCTCGCCATCCTGGCTTCCAAGGAGCACTCTGGCTGTACTTCTTCCATGACAGACTTGTTCATTCTTCTGGCAGTCCATGGTATAGTCAGTATTCTTCACCAACATGATTACAGCCAAGAAAACACTGTGGAGTACAGTTCTACTCTGTGACACCTGGGGTCACCATGAGTCAGAGTGGACTTGATGGCAGTTAACATCAGCAAGGTGTAATTGGCATCTTTCCCATGATTCCCTCATTTCTTTCTGCCTGGACCAATGGGCCTTCCATGTGGAGTCAGGAGCCCCCATCCCAGCAGTTGCCTCACCAGTATCTACCAGTTCTTGGGGGCCTGTCCCTTAGCAGCCATCTCATTCTCGGGGACACAGTTGTGTTCATCCACCTTAGCAAGGCTTTGAGAGTGGACTCCAGAGACAGCCTTGGCTTTGCCTACTTCCCTTCTCCACGTATAGCAGAAAAGAAAGAAGAAGCAGAGATTAGTGTGTCCATACAAAGCAGAGGTGCTCAGACTTGAGTGTCCCCAGGAATCGCCTGGGGAGCTTGTTAAAAGTCCAGGGGTTAGGGACGCTGCCCAGGGCCCTCAGGGATCCACCCCTGACCTGCCAGGCTAACCAGCTACAGGGATCATTTTCTGCTGGGGTGGGGTGACCCAGGAAGAGCAAAGACACAGGAAACATACTTTTTAGGGAAGAGGTCATAGGGAATCCCAAGAGCTTGGCTGGGACCATTGTAAAGGAAATGAGTAACCCGAGCTAAGACAAAGAGAGTTCTGCTTCTTAAAAAATGATCTCTCAAAAACTACATAGTTTGTACTCATCTACTAATCTAAAGGTTGGCAGTTCAAACCCACCCAGCAGTGCTGCAGAAGAAAGGCCTGGCAGTCTTCTATAAGGGTTACAGCCGAGAAAACCCTATGGAGCGGTTCTACTCTGTAACACATGAAGTTGCCATGAGTCAGAATCAACTCAACACAATGGATTTGTTTTTTTTTGTTGTTGTTGTTTTTTAAATATATGCAATGAAAAGTAAGTCTTTTCCCGCTGGGATCCGTTAGCTGCTAACCCATGCCCCTCTCCAGAAGCAATTGGTGTTAGTAGTTTCTTGTACATCCATCCAAAGATACTCTACAGACACTGGTAGGTGCTTTCAAACACAACTGGGAGCCTGCCACACACGTGGTTTGCACCTTGCCCTATTTAATAGCCCACTCCACAAATGGAGTGTTATCTCATTGCTATTTTAAAAACAGCTGCACAGTAGGCCATTGTGCAGGTGTGCCAGGTGAAGTTCATCATCGGCTCTTGGGAGGTACTTAGATAAAGCTTTACGATTGCCCCAGATAGGAAAGAAGCTAGTCTGCTGCATTCAGGAAAGGTCTTTCTGGAGGTCATAAAGGGTTGAGTGAAAGGGAAGATAGGGCCTTCTCACTAGGAAGAAAGGCCTGTCAATTAACTTCTGAAAATCAGCCAGCGGAAACCCTACAGATCACCATGTTCCACCCCACAGCCGATCATGGGGATGGCACAGGACCGACGTGTTTCATTCCATTCTGCATGAAGCCAATTCAACAACCAACTACAACCACCACCACCTTATAGCTTTTGCTTCCTGGCCGGAAGCTGGGGATGAGGCTGCAGTTGAAGAGGTCTGGGTACGATAGGGGCCTGGAGCCTGGACCCCTTATGTAAACAGTGTTAAACTCCTGCCACTGGTGTTCTGCAGGAAGAAGCCCTTGCCATTGATGATGAGCTGATAATGCTGAGGTGCACGGAAACCTTTGACGATGAAGACCTGTAACGCACACGGCTGGGAGAGAGGGATGAACAAGGTGGGCCGTTTCCAAGTTCGAACGCTGGTGGTGGAGGTCACACTTGCTCCAGCCTCCCGGCACTTTTTGAAGTGGGCTGTCCCAGAGCAATTTTGATGGTTCCAGTTTCTGATTATTATAAAGTATTTAAAAGAAGTGTGATCACGTGTTGTTTTTTCAGGGTTGTTTGGTATAAGGAGTGGTTAAAGCGGTCGGCCACTAACCCAAAGGTCGGCAGTTCGAACCCACCAGCCACTCCTCAGGAAAAGGATGTGGCAGTCTGTTTCCATAAACAGTAAAACCTTGGAAATCCTATGAGGTAGAATCGACTCAATGGCAGTGGGTTGGTATGAGGAAGGGGCTGGCCTGCTGGGCGGCACCAGGACAGCTGAGGCCCACGCCACAGACCCGTCAAGAAGAGGATAGGCAAGATCTGTCCCTGGAGGTGTCATGAGACTTCCTAGGCTGGGGCATTGCTTTGATGGGTTCCAGAGAGTTCTGGTGTCCCTCCTGCATGCTGTGGGAGCACAGGGACAGTGCTAACCTCATACTCTGTACTACAGGGTATCAGGGCGAAGCCAGCTACATCTGCCTCTCCTGGTAACAAAGGCTCCTGCACGGGGCCTGAGCTGCATTCCACTGCGTTCTAGCGCTTTCTGGTGAGGTTCCTGGGTACAAAGTGCATCAACGCCCCTGGGCTTGCACGCTGGGTTTGCTGACTCTTTACAGTTTACAAGTAATTGTCACAGTGGCTCCTTCCATTGGAGGCGTCGTGTTACGGATTGAATTGTGTCCCCAAAAAAATGTGTCAACTTGGCTAGGCTATGATTCCCATTATTGTGTGGTTGTCCTCCATTCTGTGATCTGAAGTGATTATCCCATGAGTTGTAAATCCTACCTCTATGATGTTCATGGGGCCCTGGTTGCACAGTGGTTAGAGCTTGGCTGCTAATCAAAAGGTCAGCAGTTCGAATCCACCAGTTGCTCCTTGGAAACCCTATGGAGCAGTTCTACTCTGTCCTATAGGGTCACTATGAGTAGGCATTCACTTGATGGCAATGGGTTTGGTTTTGGATTATGATGTTAATGAGGCAGGATTAGAAGCAGTTATGTTAACAAGGCAGGACTCAATCTACAGGATGAGGTTGTATCTTGAATCAACCATTTTTGAGATATAAAAGAGAGAATCAAGCAGAGGGGCACCTCATACTACCAAGAAACAACAGCCAGGAGCAGAGTGCATCCATTGGACCCGAGGTCCCTGCACTGAGAAACTCCTAGACCAGGGGATAATTGATGACAGGGCCTTCTCCCAGAGCCAACAGAGAAAGAAAGCGTTCCCCTAGAGCTGGTGCCCTGAATTTGGACTTCTAGCCTCCTAAACTGTGAGAGAATAAGTTTCTGTTTGTTAAAGCCATCGCCTTGTGGTTTTTCTGTTATAGCAGCACTAGGTAGCTAAGACAGGTCCAAAAGAACAAAAACCCAAGCCTGTCACCATTGAGTTGACTCCAACTCACAGTGAACCCCATGTGTCACAGGTAGAACCAAGCTCCTTAGGGTTTTTTTTTCTTGGCTGTAATCTTCACGGAAGCTGGTTGCTAGGCCTTTCTTCCGCAGAGCTGCTAGGTGGGTTCAAACCACCAACTTTTGGGTTGCAGTCAAGCCCAAACCATTTGCACCACCCACAGACCTTCCAGAAAGGTCCATCCCTGCCAGATTCACCCCCTTGGGAACCTTAACCCTCCCCGGCCTGCCCAGCCTGTCCGCCCTTCTTCTCTTCTCTTATTGTCCTGTGGCCCCTGGTGATGGTATTTAATGAGAACACAGTCCAGGAGAAAGGCTTGGAACACAGAGCCCACTGGGCTGGCATCTGCTTCTAGGAGAACAGAGGGAGTGTTCTGAAATCCTAGACGTTTCAACCAAAGGAAAGAAATCCATGGTAGAACTGGACAGGGTTGAAGAGCTGCGGGGCGGGTGACTGGGAGGACACGCCCACTCTCAACTGGTCTGAGAGGCCCCCTGCCCCAGTTCCGCAGAGCAGCTAAGCCAGGTCCTTTGTTAGAAATGAGGGGGTGCCAGCTTTTTATAAAGGCAGGGCCTTACCTCTTTAAGCCCACCATATCACAAAAACTAGCCTTTAAAAAAAATGGTACAAAAACATCCACCGTCTGTCAGCTTGTCATACTGTGGTGGCTTGCATATTGCTGTGATGTTGGAAGCGATCCCACTGGTATTTTAAATACCAGCAGGGTCATCCATGGTGGACAGGTTTCAGTGGCGCTTCCAGACTAAGACAGACTAGGAAGAAAAACCTCGTGATCAACTTCTGAAAATTAGCCAGGGAATACCTTATGGATCACAACAGTATATTGCCCTATATAATGTTGGAAAATGAGCCCCCTAGGTTGGAAGGCACTCAAAATACACAGTGGCCATAACAGCGGACTCGAGCATACCAACGATTGTGAAGATGGCACAAGACTGGGCAATGTCCATTCAGTTGTTTATGGGGCTGCCATGAGTTGGCAGCTAACAAAAACAGGAAATAATAGCAGGTTTACATGCTGATATAAATTATTAGAAGAAAGGGAAAATTTGATGAGCAAGAGAAAGAAGGGAGAATTGCTGGAGTGAAATCCTAGCATGGGAACAAGGGGACAGGGTCTGGTGCAGGGGAGAGGCTGGCTTGGTAGAGGGAACCCAGACAGTTCATTTAAAGTGCAGGAGGGATGGCAAGGATCTGGGCACAGCTGGGGGTGGAAGGAGGTGGCTGCTTGTGTAAAAGTCTTCTGATTGCTTCTTTGCAGCTTTCTCAGTGAAATAGGAAGCTGAGAATGAGGATGGGGTGGAGGTGGAAGAGTTTAGAAGAGAGAAGACAAAGAGAGTACGTGGACTTGTAAAATGGGGTGTGAAATTCATGGCCCTGAATGTGAGATAAGTTTTTCCTCATTCTTCATCATCCTGAAATAAAGCATTAATTTCTGTTTGTTAATCAGCATCCAAGTAGATTTTTACAAAGGTTAGGTTTCACGTGGGTATATTATCTAACAATATAATGAAATTCATAGCGTTTAGGGTCGCTGTGAGTCCGAATCTACTCAATGGCAGTGGATTTGGTTTTGGGGTTTATGTAACAAAAAGGAAAATGTTTAGATGAATAGCCTAAACAAAGATTATTGTGTTAGGGATGAAAATTTTTTCAAAAGAGAAGAATTGGTTCAGAGACTTCACTGGCAAAGGGTGAAAAAAGAAAAAAAGGATTACTTTTTACCAAGTGAGCACGTGTGTAAGGACATCTGTGAAGACAGCAATAATGGGGTGTTATGGAATGAATTATGTCCTCAGAGAAAGATATGTTAAGTCCTAAGTGCATGTACCTGTGAATGAACATGACCTTGTTTGGAAGTAGGATCTTGGAAGATGCTATGAGTTTACATGAGATCATACTGTGGATCCTAATCCAATCTGAGTGATGGCCTGTAAAAGAGGAGAAGAGATAGAGAGACAGACAGAGGAAGACAGCCAAGTGTTGACAAAGTAATGCTGCAGGGGTTCAGGCAGGGACCAGTAACATGAAACTTGCCTCCAAAAATGGAAGACTCCGAGAGACCAAAGAAAGGGGTGGGCAACGCCAGTGTGGTAGCGAAGGAGTTTATTAGGGAGACTTACAGATAAGATGAGTCCTGGGTGGCCACAGGACCAAAGCAGATCTCGGCACCCTGCAGTGGGAGGGCAGAGGTTTTATAGTGGTTGTGGACAATAGTGGCTACAAGCCAGGAGCTTATGTAAGACTGACTTAGCAAACTATAGTAAACTAATGGGCCACATGAGGGCGTTCATGTTTGGCCTCGCAAAGCCTGTTTCCCCTTCAGTCCATCCCCCAAGTCTGGCTCTTACAATCTGGCACATTCCCCCTCTCAGGCCACAAGAGACCCTGCTCCCCACTTCCCCACCCCTGCTGGGAACAGATATAGAAGTAGGGTGGGCCAGGTGCCGTATAGTACCTGCATGTGTGCGAGAGACAGAGAAAGTTACTGTGTGTCCAGAATAAGGGAAAGCCTTCCCTGATAAACAGAAGGAACCAGGAGAGTGAAGGTGACCCGATTCCCAGCCTCCTTATCAGAGAATGTTCTGGGCCCCAAGGCCTTTACTTAGGCAGCCTGGATGGGAAGCGAAGAGGCAGACCATTCCCCCAACACAGGTGAAAGCCAAGGAACGCCTGGGGCTACCAGAATCTGAGAGAGACAAGAAAGGATCTTCCCCTAGAGGCTTCAGAGAGAACATGGTCCTGCTGACATCCTAAATTGGGACTCCCAGCCTCCAGCACTGTGAGAGAATAACTGTTCTTCTAAGCCACCCACTTTGTGGTTCTTTTATAGGATAGCCCTGGGAGACTCAGACACGTGGACTCTGATGGGGTTTTCTAGATGTGTGGACATGACAGTGTAACCAGGGAGCCCCGTTACCAGTGGGCGCTGCTGACTCAGCCTCACAGGGAGGAAACTGAGAGACGATCAAGTGCATTGTTGAAGGCCGGGAGCTCTGTGCACATCGATTTCCTGCACTGTGGAGGGACCTTCAGGCTCTTTTTCTGAAGGAACAGCTGCCATACTATAAAGGAACCATTATGGGATTTGTAACTAGGGACGATGCAGATAAAGCCTTCACACTCAGCACTTACACAAATGCTTCGTTTCTGACACCCCGGGATACCTTAGTCCTCCCCACAAGCAGAGCCAGTCTGCTGTTTTTGTTCAGTGTTCCCCCTAAGAGGCCCCTTGCTGGCAGCTCTGGTGGCCCGAGGACATTGGTTCAATATCTTCAAGACTAACTTCTCTGAACCCATCACCCAGTGAAGACAACTGGGTGTATGTGTCCCTAGGCATGAGCATGTCATTGTGTGCACTGAAGGCCATACCCTCCCCCCAGCCACTTCCCCCACTGGCTTCAGGTGTCACCACACAAAGGAATTGAGGGAAACCCAAGGTCT